CATAACTTTATTTTTGTCATAAAAGTTTAACTAGCATAATTTTTTTTTCGATWGATATTTCTGTTACACTCTATGTAAGTTATTATTATGATCGGACAATGTGTAATTACGGTTATTAATTATTATTGTCTATCGAGTGAAATCCTTAAACGTAAAATATGACATAAGTACCATCCACAAAACCGAACAAATGTAAAATTTACACGCGTYTCATAGATACCTTGACCACGATAGGAAAATTACATCATCATTTGATACTTACAATAATTAATATGTTAACGTAAAATCTTATATCATGAAAACATCATGATATAATATTGTACATTATTAGGCGACTACGTGAATATTAGAGTTGAGTGTCAAACTATTGACTGTTCTTTGAAGACTATAATACAAATCTTGTTACGCAGAAAAATTCCGTTAAAAAGATATACAATTGTTTTATATTTTAAAACTATAATATTGGTAATTGAAAATTACAATATCTCGATTAGAATAATTTACTCAGACAGTTTTTGCAAATTATAAAATATAAATATATTAGTACAATCATCATATCATTAAATCACCAATATTAAGCCATTTAAAAACATATTGTCAATAATAATTCTTTTGTTGGAAATACACTCAGTCTACAGTAAACTATAACTGATAATAATGTTATAAATAAGCTAAAATAAGTAAAACATATTTGATATCGCCTTTATATTATAATGTTTTATAAAATACATTACTATAATGACTAGAGTTTGTGGTTCGTTCATTTTATTTATTTATTTTTTTTTAACATAATAATAATCAGTATACTTTTATTTTTTATATGGCATTAATTTTAAAAATAAAAGTTGAATAAATAATTATTTTTAAATATTTAATTTTGTTTTATGCATAATATTTTAACAAAAAAAAAAGATATTTTCATATTTTTTGTTACATACAAATCCATAATTATTATTATGATTGTGGGTACATAGTTGAAGTTATTCTCGTAATATTTCAAACAGTTATTTGTCGTATTATATTATGGAAGAAGATGGTAGGCGGCAGCGGATGAAACCGAAAATTTCGAATCTTCACGTCGTCGTCGCCGCGCGGGTGCCCATTCATACGGAACGAGTTTCGGGCGACGGCGGCGTCAACGACGACCACCACGACGCACCGGCGAGAGGTACACCCAGGCGCCGAACCCACCCTTGTCGCCACCCACGATCATTGCTGCCGCACCAGCCGCCTGGGTTCGACCCTGCTTCGTCCGAAACGGTTTTGTCTTCAATGGAAAAACGATCAATGGACAGACGAAAACAATGGCCAACGCGCGTTCTCACTGCCACCGCCGCTTTTTTTTTCACTGGCGAACGCCCTTCATATTATTTACCTAACACATTTTTTTTCGTTAATTTAAAATCACATTGAGTTTTAAAAATATTATTTTTTCCGAAAGCTTCGCAAAGAGAATAATACATTTATAATGACGCTATACATCAAATAGTTACAAATTTATATTTATAATATTACTCTACGTACGCATTGTGCATTGTGTGATATTATAAGAGATTAGTGACTTAACCACTTAACTATGTGACCTAGACAGACTTTCTAAAAGGGAGGAGGGGGGAGGCAATAAAAAATCTTGTCAATTTTAATTTGTATTGTTGGCACTTAAAGTTTTTATATATATTATATGACAAGAAATATAATATTTATAAATGCATTCTACTGAAATGAATACAATTTTTAACAATGTTTTATAAACATTAATGTATTACAAACAGCATTTTAATGAGGTACTTAAAATATTATGTTATTATTGTATCAAATAGGTCGTCTAATCTAAAACATCTGTTCTTCTAGAGGATTATTTTTATAAAAGCAGTTTCTGTTAAATATTTTTAAAAAACATAAAAACTGAAAAAATATGGTCGATCGGTGGGGGAGAGGTAGACGTGGCCACTATGACGCCTTTACCCTGTTACGCTATTGACTTAACTTCAAGTAGTAACAACATACTGTTTGTGAAATTCCGGGTTTCTACAATCTGTGAAAACATGGTCTGAGTATTTACAGTCTAGAAGCCTACGGTCTGTAAGATTATTTTCTGGGTTTTCACTAGCGTCCTTCCATCCATCGGACGATACATGGTTTTTTTTCTYGAAAAAGCTAATTTTTCTTTCATTGTGATTTTAATTTCTTATACACCTATATATATATATCTTTAATCTTATATTCGTCATAAGTAGAAATATAATACTATCTTTACTCTGTAGCAGCGTTTTCTAAAGTTTAAGTTTTTCTCCGATAAACCCCTTAGAGTATAGTAAAAATGATCTCGGACCTCGTAATAAAAATAACCTAACCTAACAATAATAAATAATAACAATTCACCGACCYCCTTTGGTAYATATACGAACCCCTAGGGGTCTACAGACTATAGTTTAGAAAACGCTACTCTATATTAACTACGATAAATAATAATTATAATAGGTACTTCTAAATATTAAGACTTATTAAAATATAATCACTATTATGATAGGACATAAATTAAAGTATGAAAAATGCATAATATAAGTTTCGAAAAAAAAAAAAAACATTATAATGTTGTTATTTTATCCTTAAATATTGTTTATACTGTTAATATTGTCTAGGTATTTTAACGGATTATTGACTCATTGTCACAGTCAGTGAATTTGCTTATGTTAACAGACCACGGGTAGGATGAGTACGGGCGTATATCATCACATCACACAACTTACAAGGACAATTTAATATTAAGATTTAAATTGTCAAATAGAGACTAACAAGAGTCAACTCTAYATTGTTAGGTGAAATAATATAATTATTTTAAATCGATTTACTATGAGAARAATAACCGGCTTTCTAGATATATCATGATATTTTTTGCCATC